CACACGAAGGTTTTTCAAAATAACCATGTATGTAAACGGGGCCCACGTCCACACGGACACGGGTATTTTTATAACCGTGACTTTTTTACGCAGTTCGTCCACACGGAAACGCAGTATCAGGACACTGAAACCGAACATTTTTGAAACCCCCTGCCAGGGTGAGTATTTTCTGAAACGCCAGTTGCAGTGTAGTCGTGTAGACAGTGAAACGGAGTTTTTGCACCGCTGACGGCTTCTGATTGGCTAACGTGGCTTTACGGTTAGGTTTATATCGCTGCCTGGCCTGCTAGTGTTGCATGCTCTTGACAGCGCTTGATAGCGTGTTTTTGCGTTTTCATGTGGACAGAGGTTTTTTTTAAACGCAGGAGGGAAAAACTCCTGCGTTTATAAAAAATACCCGTGTCCGTGTGGACGAGGCCTCAGGCACTATATAGCAGTCCTGCTGAGTTTAGCTCCAACTCTAATTAAACCTGAACAAGCTAATCAACGTCTAATTGTGAGGAAAAGCATTTGTTTCAATCAGGGTTGGAGCTCCTGCCTTAAACCCTTGTGCCTCCATATGGACATTTTTGTCCTTTTCCTTTTCATTGTGTGGTTTTTGGGGGAATTTAGCAATTTCACCACCATTTTCTTTAAAAAAATTAATTTTGCACTAGGTAGCCTACACAAAATACTCACTCAGCACCTTTTGGACGAAAATGTTCCACTTGAAACCCATTAAAACTGCCTTTTTTAATCCCATTTAACTATAAAATGATGCAATCTTTGTTAAGAGGCTTTCATTGTGTTGGCATTTTGGCAAGGCTTCAACATTTACATTTTTACCATTTTTTTTTTACCAGATGGAGCCATTTTTTCAGGTTTGGCCTATAAAAGCTAATACTTGCTTTATACCTGTTTTCTGCTTCTGCATATTATAGAGCCAATCAGATACATTTTGCAATGATATTTGTGTGGGTGTGTTGGTATGGATTTCAGAGTGTGGTTGGCATGTGTTATTAAAAAAAAATATTTGTGTGTGTGTTTGTAATATTGAGAGAGAATAACTCAACTGCAAATAACAAATCCAAACTCTGTGTGCACCAGTGGAGTTTTGCTGCACCCAGTGGCGAAAATCTGTGACTGCGCCCAGACAAACTCTTACCGAAAGCTAATTTTTCAGATATCATCCTCAAATTAATTTGGAACATCTTTTTTGGATGCATGAATCTAAACATCTTTAAATTTATGGCTTTGATTTTCTAGCTGTTTTAGAGTTCAACTTGTTTCATAAAATATATATTTTATATAAATTATATTCATAAATAATTAAGGGTTAGTTAACCCAAAAATGAAAATTCTGTCAGTAATTACTCACCCTCGTGTTGTTCCAACCCTGTAAGACTTTCCTTCATCTTCGGAACAAAAATTAAGATATTTGATTAAATCTGAGAGCTGGATCACTCCTCCATAGGCTTCTTAAGGGATCAAAACTGGCCGCCCCAAGTTATGAAAGACATTGTTAAAATAGTCTGAGTGACTACAGTGGATCAGTCTTAAGTTTATCAAGCGACAAGACTATACTTTTCGTGCGCAAAAAAAACAACAAACAAAAAAAAAAAAAACAACGACTTTATTCAACATGAGGGAGAGTAATTACTGACAGAATTTTTATTTTTGGGTGAACTATCCCTTTAAACCTAGGCCTATATAACTTTTGTTTGGAATTACTTATTCGCAACAATATGCCAAGGGTCTTCTTTCATATAATATCTGCTGTAACTTTACCTCCTGGTGTTGCTGTTGGACAGCGTTACTTTAGAAAAATGAGTGATTTATACACATTTTAATGTAACATTTTGTAATATTTGTGTTGTTGTTTTTTTCTAATATGAATTATTTTCTCATTCAATTTTTTTGAGGCAGTGCCTCCTTTGCCTCCTCAGAGAAAACGGCCCTGATATATTCTACTGTATGTAACAGATGCTTTCACTGAATGCTCCCTGAACATAACTGGCTGGTCCGTAGTTTAATACAGAGTCACAGATTCCAATCCCCTCTGCTTAAGAATTTCCCTCGTTATGCATGTGTAGTTTTCCGCTCTGACTGTCCAAGGACTCTATGCCTAGATGACACTCAGCTGCAAAATTATGGAGTGCTGCTGGACCAAAAACCCTCTTTCCACTCCATTTGTCTAGCGTTTAAGTATACAGAACACCAGCTGGTCGTATTATGATAGTGGATCAGTCATGTTAATGCCACACTTATCTAAATAATCACAAGGTACCATTTTTATTTGATTTTTCTTTGCTATTTCTTGATCATTTCAAAAACCAAGACCACTAATAGTAAAGCTCAGCTGAAGAACTAGTATCTCTCGGCAGCTCTCTCATCTTTTGATTAGTCAGGCAGATCCTGACTGCGATATCAATTGCTTGGAATATTAATTTCTTTCCAGAGTTCACCTGCTCCGCATGTCTGTCTGGATGTACCTCACTCACACCACAAACCATTTCTAAATTATAATAAGAGCTAGTTAAAGGGGTGGTTGATTGCGATTTTCACTTTTTTCCATTTTAAATAGTGTGTAATGTTGCTGTTGGTACATGAATAGTATCTGCAAAGTTGTAGCACTGAAAGTTCAGTGTAAGCAGAGACATCGTCTTTTAAAAATCAGAAAGTGCCAACAAAAACGGTTCGATTGGGACTACAATTATACATAACAAACCCCTACATTTGCATTAACCCTCTGGAATATGCAAAAAAGGGCATGGACCTATTTCTGCGACTCATCGAAAGCATGTTATGTTCACCCAGCTGTCAGGTCTTCTGTGTTCAGGCTTCCCACGGACGTTGTAGTTCGTCAACAATCGATACAATTTATGTTTGATTATGTTCCTGAAAATGACAATCGTAATTTAAACGTAATTTAGCTCTCTGTGCTGGGCATTTTACGAAAGACAGCTTCCAGAATCTCCACCAATTCAATGCCGGATTCAACAAGAAACTGTTACTAAAACATGAAGCAGTTCCAACTTTAAAACCAGAGGCAGCAGCTGTTGGGCCACAACCTGTAAGTAGGCTAAGACGTCATCATTTTAAATGTATTTGCATGTATAATTCCAGACGTAATGTATTAGTTTTATCAAATGCCAGCGCTGGCTTTATAGCCACTAGTTATGCTATTTCTTGTCTACAACAAACATGTACAAACATTATGGACCTGAATTTGTATATGTACTAATTTTGTAAATGTATTTTTCATGTATTTATACTTTATGACGTAATTTTTCGATTTGATCAAGAATGTAAACCAATGCCAATGCTGTTTGTATATATAGTAGCCAGTTAGTCCAACGCTATTTTGTGTAAGACAAACGTGTATAAAGTTAAAAAAATGATAGGCTATGTAATCGCAGCAAACTTCAGCTGCTGCTATCAGTGTACAGTATGGTTTTAAAACAGTTGCCACATGTACACCTAAATAAAACGATACAATGAGTAAACTAAGTTTTGTGAATAGATGAACGGTTGTTCATTATATCGATAATCAGTATTAAATGTTTAATTCATCGCCGCTTTCTGAGTCTGATTCTGGCTCTGGCGTGAAGTTTCCGGACAACATGCACAACTCAGTTTAGCCAATCACAACACACCGGCCCAAACTAACCAATCTGAGCCCATTGTCTGTTTCTGGGGGAGTGGTTTCATTGAATCAGGAAGTAAAACGGTCGTTCAAATGACAGTGGCGAAAGCGGCTTACAATAAAGGTGAAATTTATGAAAAATAAGAAAAACCACGAATACATGTTATATTGCACCAAATAAACACAATCATGCAAAGAAAAAAAAGCAGTAAACCATCCCTTTAATAAGCACAGTTTAACAACCTCACCAAACATTTAATTGATGGTGCTTAGCTGTTATTAGAAAGTCTTGTCAAGTTTTGCTTGACAAGACTATTCAAAATAAAGCAAGACTATTACTATTCACACTAAAGCAAATGGGAAACTCTAGTTTAAAGAGCTCTAACACAAAAATATCCCCCAAAATATTGCTTAACTCTAACTGGATAAAGAGCTTAAGGCTATGGATATGAATGAATAGGCTATATGAAATCAGTTTGTGTCCCTTTCTGATTTCCTCAAACCTGAGCAACATTTCATGGAAATATTGTAAATAATGACACTCGCCTGTCAGCAAACTAATTAAAAGAGGTCATGATAGGATTTTTTTTCTAATCTCCAGTTAAAGCTATATAAGAGACGGGGATTTCTTTTTAAAAAGATTATGTTAAAATCTGTCAGGCTATTTAATGACATTGCTGCTTGACATCATCAGTGTAAATATTGCAAAATATAAATCAGACATCAGAGGAAGCTTTCACACAGGGAATGCAAATATTAATACACAGAAGGCATCTGTGTTTGCAGAGCTAAAGATAATTTCAGTATGATCAATATTTCTTCTTCAATGTTTATTTGTTCTTCGATACCGGGTCTACTGATTAGTCGACCAATTTACCCATCAATGCTGCGGTAAACCAACAGGAAACCACAAAGGTTCAGATAAAGCTACACTTAGCAGGTAACCTTTTTTATTTTCTTTTTTTGCAATATTTTGTCATTATTGTGCCAAAAAAGCAGTCTAAATAAAACAATAATTAAAATTTAAGAGACTGAAGCATTAGACTACAGTTGTTTGGGAATATTGATTATAAAAACATTACTTAGCTCAAAATATAAACAATCCTAATATATGTTTTTATGTGACTTGGATTAAGGTAGATGTTCACAGAGCAATGAGAGTCCTCCGGTATTATATTAGAAAAGTTGCGAGACTGCAAAGCACAATTTCCCTGAAACGAGCACAACTGGAACTTTTGAATTTGTCTAAGGGACTGTTCTGCACAAAACCACCAAAGCCCGTATCATTCATTAACTTACTTTAAATGAATACCCAAACGATATCTCGAGCCATTACAAAAGAATAAAGCAGACAAAATATCAATGTTTAACTTACCTGCAAACGGCGACTGCAGTCTGCTACACGTTTCACTCCTGTGCCCTGGCGTCGAACTGTAAATAAACGTCTTAAAGTTACTTTTAACTGGGGCTTTAAACAACAATGGAGTTTATATGCAGTCGGTATATAATAAGAATCCTCTGTCTCGACGTTCATAAATGAACTAGTGTTCTTGAGAAAGCTTGAAGGACGGCTGGTGATCACGTCGTGTTAATGGCTTCTCCGATGATCCGCTCTGCGCTTCCAGTGAAGCTCTCTAAGTCAACAAGTAACGCGCACAGGAGACCCCTTTCAATCATATTCACAGCATCTCTCAGCCCCTCCACGCGCTCTCTCGTGCACGACACGCCATTCTGCTGCTCTCATTCCAAGAACCCACAAGGTCTGAAAGACAGCAGACCTCTGCAAACACCAACACACTCATTCTTGTCTGTCCTAGTCGTAGGTAGCCTACTATATCTTGCTCATTTTACATGTCATGTACAAAAATATGGACATTAATAATAATAATAATAATAATAATAATAATCAATAATTTTCTATTATTCAAAATATCAAAATTATTGTGTGGGATTTTGTTTTAGTTTTACTATATTGCCACTGTTAACAATGTAGGGATGAAAATCACACACTTACGATTCCAATTTCTCTCAAAGATTCCAGTTGGTTAATAGCATTATTAACCTTAATTTAACTATTTCAATTAAAAACATATCATATATCAATATATAAATATATCAATTAAAAATTCATTTGTAGCCTACCTGGATGATATTATGCCGAAGCCACATTGAACTAGTCTATAGCAGTTTGAAAAATGGACAAATTGATGATTTAGCTGGCGCCATCTTCAGGTCAGGCGTTAGAGTTAAGTAGCTGCACGACTCTCACAGTGCATTTTGGGTATTTTCTAGCCATTGAGCATACAACCCTGACCCGGTCCCAAATTGCACACTTCATATGCATGGGTAGAAGTCTCCTGCGGAGCTCGTTTCACTGCGGGCTCATATCGACCACAAAGGGGGCGCTCGCAAGTACCCTTCTGAAACCTAAAATGACAAAAGGGATGCCCTACGATGACAATGAATAAACGTATCTTAGCGTCAGGAGTCCAGGACCTCTTGCACAAAGTAAGCCTCCACGTCGCTGACATCAATTTGGGGAGCCTGCACGGGAGCGACCTCCTCCTAGACCTCCTCCATCCTGGGAGCAACTGCGGGTCTGAAAAGAGACACATGAAAAGTGGGTCAGACGGGGAAGTGGCCAAAACGCCCAAGTAGCCTCGCTGCACTGAAGCCACGCGCCCACTGCTGGAAGGTCAGACTGCTCTCCAGCCCATGGAAAGAGAGGAGGTTGAAAACCTAAGAATACACTGAAAGGGTGTTAGACCAGTAGCAGGCTTCAACTGAGAATTTTGGGCAGACTCTGCCCAGACCAGGAAGCGACTCTAGTCCTGCTGATTTTGATGGCAGTATGTCCGCAGGAAGCGAGTGAGATCTTGATTTAAACGTTCAGCCTGGCTGTTGGCCTGAGGGTGGTATCCAGAGGAGAGGCTGACGTTGATGTTGAGTTTCGAACAAAATTCTTTCCAGACACGGGAAATGAACTGCAGACCGCATCGGAGACCCTCTTGGAGGTAAGCAACAGTAATTTGTAGCTAGTTTGAACTACAGAACTTAAAGATCTCCCTCTTTTCGTTTTCATTTTAATTTTGGTGCAGATGAAATGGTTAAACTTCTGTTTTCGCGCAGGTGCTGTGAGGGAAAAAAACACTGAGTTTAGGGCAATCGGTTTGTAGCTTTGCTTCAACTGTGCGATATAGTCACGAGAAGCGACCAAAATTTCTGACATGCCAGAAATTCATCCGACCATCCGATTGTCGATCGTGAGAGGTTAATCGCCTCTCGTTTCTCCCTGTACACTGCACAACAAACGACGCATGACAAAGCTGAAAATCGGTCCGAGTCGCACGAATCAGAATTCGGCTCAAAATCGGACGAAAATCGCACAGTGTATGCCCGCCTTTACTTAACACAACTGATTCAGATCCTCAGCTCGTTGGGATAGACTCTATGTCTATCCTAACGAGCAGAGGATCTGAATCAGGTGTGTTAAATAAGGGAGACATACACAATATGCAGAGCAGTGGGTTGCGAGGACTGGAGTTGAGAACCCCTGACTTAGACAACCAGCCATTGAGTGAGCACAGTATACTAACCATCTTATCACTCCATCAAACAGGAAGGGGGCCAGAGCAAATTACAGTGTCTGACATACTTGCAAGTTCACACACCTCTTTAATGTTCATTTTAGTGATCTCCGACTGGCGAAGTCGAACGTCATTAGTTCTAACATGAACAATAAGCTTATAAAATTTATAAATTTCAAAGCCTAAAGTTTAAAAAAAACACAAGCAGACACAAAAAAGTTTAAAAAACCACAAGCAGATTATAACTAGTGTGTTTTATGTCATAGATCAAAACGTGAAAATATTTAGAGGCTTTGTTAACAACAGAACTTATTTCAGGCGATTTAGCAAAAACCCGATCAAAAAACCCATAGACTTTAGGGCGAGGGAACAGAAAGTGCTAAAATGCTAACTCACTTCCGCGTTTTTGGCCTACAAAACTTCGTCACTCTATTCACTCACCTTTAAATGCTCATAGCACTCTTCTCTCCCGTTGTTTGATGTCCCTCATGTGCGTTGCTCCTGTTCCAGTTGGCGCTGCTCTTCGTGCTCTGTTCTTCTGTGTCACACTCCGGTCACTGGATTACATCACCATTCACTTCACGTCATCTCATCACTTCTTCATTCCATTGCTGTCATCCTGTGAACCTGGACTGTGTACTTCATTTACCTTAATAAAGAGTTGTATCGTATCATTGCTTCTGTGTCCTTGATCATGACAGTTAAGTCTGAGATAAACTCCAGCCTTTTTGAAGTTAAATTGATCTTTTTTTTTTTTACCGTAATCCCTTAGCAACATGCTGTGCAACTGAGCCCGATGACAGCATATTACTGAAAGTTTGGTATATTGGAAAAGTTTTCTTAAATTACAGTGCATGCATATTAATTTGTAAAAAGTTAAGGGAGGCCAAAAGATACTGCAAAACAGAAATGGTAGATGCTTCCATTGTACACTCACTCTCACTTGAGACATTATATGCTCTGCAGACATCAGCACACTGATTCTTTTCTGCCCTTTAATTAGTAATTTATAAAGCTCTATGTAATCGAACAAGCTTTTCACCTCCATAACCCTTTAATATTACCTCTTTATCCATCCGTTTTTTAAATTAAATAAATCATATTGGAATATATTAGACTCAAGTCTAAAATCCTATTTGGCAGAATTCTCTGCTTTAAATCAGTGCAACCTCAAATATAATTTCCGCAGATGCCTCATAGCCACAGTGACGTTGCTTCTTATATAGAAAAGTAAAGCTTAATTTTACGAGTAGGCTGTTTTCTACGACACCCCCTTCCCCATACATTTTATTTAGATCAGTCTATTGGGGTCAGACCTCCCCAACATTCCATTAAACACAAAATGGCAATTTCTGTCCGGCCTAGTTCAAATGAAACAGTAAGATTTAAAAGAATTACTTAGGTCTGTTTTGGTCAAAATTTCTCATTTTGTATTCCAGAGAAAAAGTTATAAGTATATATGGGGTTGGAATAACATGAGGGTGAATAAATAATGACAAGCTTTTCATTAGATTGAAGCTGTCCGTCATCTACTGGTTAAAGTGATCTTTTTTTTTTTATACTTTTATAACTGTATTTTCCAAAATATGGGCAATAATATTACACTAAAACATGTCAAATTATCCATGTTATCCCCATGAATAAAATCTAGAAATGTGGGTCTTTTATAACGTGTATTTCACATAAAAAACTGTTGTTATTATAACTAAACTATATATATAACTTTATGTATAAAAGAAAATTGTATTTATTTAATTTTATTAAATTTTATTTTATTTATTATCATTTCTATAAACAACTATTAGTAACAAAAATGTCATGATCCTGGTATTTTTCTCTCTCCATTTCTTCCCCTGCTGCCACATCATCCACACACACACACACACACACACACACATATGCTTTCTTTCACACCCAGCTGTTCCTCATCTCCATATGCAATCAGTATCTTCTTTTCCACACCTGTCCTCTCTTTCTCTCTGATTAGTAGGCTATCTCTACTTCTAGCTACACTGTGTAACTCTTTTAGTTTATTCTTAGCTAAAAACACTTAGTTCTTTCAAAAATATATGTGCTCATTAATGAATATTTTCTTCGTTCAAGTAATAAAGTATTCTCGTGAGTGTATAACATGCCAGTAAAAATACACACGGGTAAGGGGTTCTAGTGTCGGTCGCCATGTTGCCCCTCCATCTTGAAAGTACATTAGCCAAAGAGGGACAGACCCGTTTATTCAACCTTCGCCTTTCACGTTTACGTTTGAGTTAACACTCATGGACGAGTTCGAACTGGAAGCCATGTTAATCTTGGACTACATTGGCCACCGTAGGAGTTAAAACGAAATCGGAATTGAGAGGAACAGAAACTAATATTCAGAAACTAAAAATCACGCAGTGTAGCTTTAAATACAGTTACACGAGCGACCAAGAATGGTGACGCAAAATAAAACGTTGTACTTTTTTAAGCATGTAAAGTGTGCAACTAATGTATTGCGGAATACTACAAAGTGAGACTTTAGGCTCCTGTGTAATAGTAGCCAAGCTATTCAGCAACTCAAACTTACCAAACCAACAATTAGCCTACTAAAAACACACAAAAACTGATTTTGCACAACTTTTTTTTTTTACTTTCTTGAAATCATTTGTTTGGTTGTTTGCTTGCATGTCATTGAGACATAAACATGGATAACATCTAGAAAAATACTTCCAAAAGGAAAATGACAACCACTATACTATGGCAACTACAGCAACTTGCCAGTGGGTTTAAAGACAATAGTAAACAGTCATTACTCAGTTTCAGTATACTTGTTACAACAATGCTGTAAGCCTGTCGACCATCCGACACATCCTCCAACGGCACCAAGTGACGATGAAACAACTTTTCAAGGTGCCATTTGAGAGAAACTCTGACAGAGTCAAAAATCTGCAACATTTGTAGAGTAGGCTATGTACCACTACATCTAGTCCTTCAGATATCCCATATTTACTCATTGTCAGAGATTATTGGAGATGGATGAAATACACGGATAATGTAGTTTTATAGTTTTATATAGTTTTGTACTATGCTACTGCATACAACAGTAATAGGCCTAATAGCTAAACATATTTTCTGTTTCTACATTGCATTGATGTTTACTTTCACTGTAGAATTGTATTGAAATATAAATATAAGCCTATGAAAGACTAAAGAGCTTTATATTTAGAAAAACAGTGTT